GTTTTGTCTCAAAGTCATTTCATAACGTCATTCGCTGTAACATTCTTATTTCTATTTGAGATTTGTTGATAAATTTTTAATTAGTGATTTGTATAATTAGTTTATAACAGTACTCTAGTACTACTGTTTTATTTACCCTAAAAACTACATAAATTTGTACTTAAAAATACAAACTGATTGAAGTAAACAGTTCCTGTTAGTTGATCCAATAAAAAAAACAGTCTAACTCGCATGTATTTAGCGCTGGTAATTTTTTTTTACATATTATCACATGTTAAACATCTTTAAAAATATCAATACTTATCGAAGTATTATCTACTGTGTATCAAATTAATCTACACAGTACCTACTAAATAAATAAAAGTGTAATATATTTTTATTATCGTTTGTATACTTAAAATAGTTAATTGCGACAATTTTATTATCTCGGCTACATCGGCTACACGGCTATATGAGTAGCACAGAATCTTAACGTGGGAAAGAGAATCAGAATGAGTCAATTATTTGAATATAATTCTTACCTACTTAGTCACATTCGGATTTAAATATAAGATTCAACAAAGCCTAAGGAATTAAAATAGACATCAACTATATAAAAGATAATGTCATTTTAGACAGGGTTTTTTCCATTGCTACCAATGTAATATCGACCTCCACCCACGCTGGATACCATCACGATTATGTCTAGGCAAATTTACCATGATGGGCCAACTGAGCAGACTTCATCTTATCATCCTTCACTAGTGCCGCGACACCATTAGCGCAGGTGGGTACACCATTCCATTATTACCCACTAAAATGTTTCTAATTTTATATAGGTATAAATAAAACTTTACATAATAGATATATATACAACGTAATCGTTATTCTATAGTCCACATCGTTCAAATGTTATGTAATCACTCTTAATTGTTATGTTAATGTGTTCAAGTGTTTCCCAAAACGACATCCGACTACTGCTTCTATAAATCAATTTCACTCGATGTTTAGCTTTCGCTAAGTTATTGTTTATACTTTCTATTGCAACAACGGATCCATTAATAATCAAATGGTAGCAGCATTCCACTGTTTTATAACTTATAATAGGATTATTTGAACATTATGCGAAACGAAAATGATTGCATAAAAATTTGATGCAATAAAATAGAGACTTAATTCGCCAATCATTAAATTAACATTTCTTTTCCTTCTCTTAAATTTTAATATCCTATAATTAATTATTCTGAATTCACTCAATAAATAATCCAACATTTCGACAGGGGAATTTGCATAACCGAAATGTATTAGTTGGCCGGGACAAAAAGTACCAAATTCTTCTAGCATCTCTCTTTGCCAAAATTCATGATAATTCATTTGTTAATACATAACCTCCGTAATGTCCTAGAAAAACCTTTAATCCTACCATTAACCTAATCTTTGCTTTAAATATATTTAAGAAAATAAGATTTAAGATTGTACTTGCACCATAGTAAGCCCTTTCGTTCGGAGAATAGTCGTCAAAATTAATTAATAATTGGCGAATATACAACATATAGGTACACAAAATACAGACTAATCGAGAACCTCTATTTATTGAAGAATATTAAAAATCATTCAATGTTTCAATTATGATTTTGTCTCGTAATAATTTATTCATTGCGTAGGTGTAGTACACGGCTAATTTAGACCGAGTTACTAGTCGTGTAGTAGTGATTGCAACAATTTAATACCAATTCTATTCTACATCGATGACTAAATACTGGTACTGCGCAGTTTGCTCCAGTAATTCTGTAAAGCCCTTTATCACTAGTAAGGCAACTGTAAATAATATTATAAACACAATGTTATTATTTGAATGATAAATATTTACTAAGAAATCGTTTACAACAAGTCTTGTAAATTATAAGGACTAGATAACAATAATGTATGCATATATCTTACACTAGCTGTGCCCGCGACTTCGTTCGCGTGGGGTAACTTGAACTGTTTACGCAACGGAAGCCTCAAATATGAATAATTTTCCCTGATTTGCAACATTACTCACTGATGCTTTGCTTCTATTTGTCGTAGCATAATGTTATAGCTTAAATAAAGCCTTCCTCGTCAAATGGACTATCCAACAAAAAAGATTTTTTCAATTCGAACCAGTATTTCCTGAGATTAGCGCGTTCAAACAAACAAAATCTTCAGTTTTATAATATTACTTTAGATATAATTACATCACTGTTGTATCTATCTTTAAACGTCTAACCCTATCAATAAATTAATAATCCTTGTTTTTTATTTCATGGTTATCACAATGAAGATTTAAAATTAATAATTAAAATTTGCGGTTCAGATATTGCTGACATTATAATGCATAATTAATAATTATTGACTAATTATCTGATAATTATTAGATTAATTTAAAAAGAACTAAATATCAAATTTAAAATTAAGTAGAATAATATATTATAAATAAACATTATTACTTATTGACCAATGTTAGATTGACTTAACTAACACGTACTTACTTAGTAAAAATTACCGATATTAGTATCAATAAAACCAGATGTCTATTTAGGTACCTACTTTCTACCTAAAATCACCTCAATTCGTGGTCCTGAAGATAAATTTGTAAGTGCTAGAGCAACCTGGCCAATATGGCCCGCTAGAGTCGAGAATACCACACCTCTTCAAAATTACGGTACGGTAAAACACTTAATATTTTGGCGTTCTTAATGGTGAGTCTAAGTTTAAGGCGCTTATTCGTATATAGGAGGGACGGCTCCTTTCTTTTTTTAATCCCTCGATTTCCTTAGAAAATAATAGCTTTTTCAGCATTAAATGTATGGTCTATGTGTTGTTCTGATGAATAAGTTATATTACTCTTTTCATCAAAATCCGCTTTTGCGTAAAAGACACATCCATCCATCCATATTCACAAACTTTCGCGTTTATAATATACCAACAATACCAATTTAAATACTCGATTTCGAGTGTTATTTGATGTCTTAGAAAATAATAGCTGTGCCGCAGTTTCACCCGCATTAAATGTATGGTCTATGTGTTGTTCTGATGAATATTTATTATATTATTATAATATTCTGATAAATACCAGGTGTGTTATTGTACTAAATGTTACGGTGAGACAAAGAGATTGAAAAAATACTGCGACTGTGCTTCCCCTAGAAATCTTCCGCATTCACTTCATTAATTACGTCCACAAATATGCATTTTATCAAAGACACGCTATGAAATAATATCGTCATTTGTCCAGTAAAGCGTAACTGTTACAAACAGAATTAACGATATCCATGCAATTAGCCCTAGCAATTTGACCGGATGATAGGTTGAAATCATGCTGTTTCCAATCGTATGTATTTGGTGATTGCGGTGTCTTGTACTTAGTCGATCGCATTAGGGAATCTAATGAACATCCTAATGTATTGGGCCATACATTACGTACATAAAACCGAAATCCACATATCAAGGACGTATATGCATGAGAACTGTTGTAGCTAATATTTATGTATATAGGTGACAGTTGCTATTCACAATTAAGTAGGCCTTTAATTTGTTTGGTATTCCAAGTACACAGAAAAATTATAAATAAAAATTATAATCGACAGTTTGCAATTTTCATAAGATTGGTGGACTGTCGGCAACTTGTTTGCTTTTCCAAGTCTCATAATACCAACGATATGGGACGACAATCTCAGGATTGAGGTCAACGAATGCAAGTGGCTCAATACTGTAATTTGTGGCGAATATGGAGAATATGTATATTCAATATTGGATACTGGAAAGATGAAATTATTAACACATTCACAGTTGCAATAATACCAAAATGACATATAGTATGGATTTGATTTCCATACTTTTCAAATGAGGCATGTACATGAAAGTGTGTATATAAAAGAAAGATAATTATTTCCTATTACGTTTTAGATAGTTCCTACATTAGTAATATATAATTTACAAGCAGCAATGCAGCAATCATCAAAAAAACTGAAAACCTGAGTGCGTAGTATTGAATAAAGTGTAATAAGTATCTATGACGAGTACCGGCGCAGTACGTTATGTTTTAAAACGTAATTTTCAATTAAACACTTTATCAATATAATTGTATTTATCTACTGATTACTGCACTAGATACTACGAAGATATATCAAAGTAGATAAACATAAACAATGTATGATATCTAAGATACGCAGAAATCTAAAAGAGTATTATGAAAAGGTGTGTTTCCTGTATCAGTAAAACTCAGAACATACTGCTTATGATTATATTTGTAGGTAGGAGAGTACAATATCAACCACTTTCTGGAAAAACAGTGAACGTGGGAATAAGTTGTTATGGATAATAATACTGTTTATTTATTTCATAAATTAAAAAAGTAGGTAGTAGTATTATTCTTTATTACACCGCCAACATAAAATTAAGAATAAGAATCCATCATTTTTCGCCGTAAGCGGCATATAAATCAAACAGCTAATCGACAACACTTGCCTTTATACGACAGTTAATTAGTAAGCACCGTTGAACGATTAGTGTGTTGAACCGAAATGGACAGCTTCAAACGACGAACGGTAATTAAATTAAGAGTCCTAATTACAACCCCGGGGCTTCACAGAATACATCAAGGTACTTTTTTATAAGCTATTAGCGATAATTGATTTCTGTATCTGGCGCGGAAACAAAAAGAAATTTATAATCACCGTTATTAATGGATTGTTAATTTAACCGCAACCAGTTCTGTATACGGAAAAGTGTTTATGTATAATAAAAATATTTTTTGTTGCACCTGCAATAAATCCAACTTCAATGTGGACAAATTTTATGTGGGACCAAAATAGGTTACCCTTTGGGAAGAATGTGAAACCTTTGCCATTTAAATTGTATAGTTAAAATCGATTCAGAATTAACGACGTTCTATTTTAGAAAAGGATTGAGAACTCCTATTTATTTAATTCGGTTGCATATACCTAGAACAATTAACAAAATATTTGATTAGGCAAATATATATATATTGTTCTTACCCGATTTACCGCATCGTGCGCTTCCGAGCACCACCACTCTTATTCGATTCACAGTCATCTTCATTGGTCCTGTCGATCACAGCACAGTGAGCAAGTATATGGGTTCTGTCCGATTATTCGTGACTAGGCGTCAAGTAACCGCGTTGTTATTATCAGTTGTTCAATAAACGCACGCGCGCACAACGCACCTGCTTCCGAGCGACTGCCGTCAAACACAATTGGCGCAACGCGCACTCCAACATGTCTATTGGAGTGAGAACATTTTTAATAAGTTATTTACTATCGTTGTGGACATTTTCGATGCATCTGATGACGTCTTCAAGGCTTTGCTATGCAACTCGTTCTCTGTTATCTGCCTTAGCCAGTTTGTACCTCGACAAAGTTGCGGGTATCTGATGTTTCACAGATTTTATATGAGTGACCAGTTCTAAGCTGCCGGCAAATAACGTTTAACTATAATTATAATTGAGTATAATAAGCGACATCGATAGCTACATAAAATATGGATTAGGTAAACTAGACTCGTCATAAAAACCTATAAATTAACAGTCATCTAAATGTTTGACCAACCGTCATCCTAAAAACTCAAAAATTTATTAATACAGAGATTTATTAATCCGAGTGGGATTGTGGATTAACAGAGCAGACCGTGTTTTTAATCCCGTGAATCTATGTCAACGTTCAATTTACACGTCGATACTTGACATAACGTAAGTATGATATAACAAACTGTTGACAAGACAAGAACCAGTAAATATTATGATTGAAATAAAATCGAGAGCTTTTAATTCTGTTGAATTCTCACTTAAGATTTCTTACGGTTTATTAATTGTGATCAGCCTGTATGTGGACTTTTCTATTAGAAATATAACTCAACTCATATTGTCAAACAATGTACATATCATATATCCATTTGGAATTAGACTAAAATAGATTTAAGGTGACTCAAATGGTGAACGAATTTTTTTATACATATATGTAACTGGCAATCGTTTCACTAAGTCACAAAAGCCGCACATCTATTGTATTATATTACGTAGATTTCCAGCAATTCATATAAATATTTATATCTAAAGCCATTGTTAAATTTGCACAATAAAACTATAATAGATACTGAATAAAAAGATGGTATAGTTTTGTTTGATTTTAATAAGGCAATCTGACTAAGCGGCCCTACCCATAGAAGAATTTTAACAAGCTCTTTGTTAGAGGACTCTAATCGCCTACGCCGAATGTCGATAGTTTGATCATGATTTACGTTTTCCATAGTATTATATCATATTAAATAATACATATACACTAACATAACACTCTGATCACCACAGAATGCTATTATTGCAGCCCTCACTCCAACATTCATGTTCAAATTGTCATTTGCACTTGCTATATTATCCATCAGACATAGGATACCAAATCTCCATGTTGTTATTCTAGAAATCTATTAATCTATTTTCACATTATATTTACGCCATGGTTTAGTTGTACGACCATAATAGGCTTATTAGTAATACAAAAAATTACACAGGTAAGAAACCATATTCAATTCGATGTATTGATGTACCTACTAGTACTCGTATGCACTTAGAAGTTATACCTTGGACAAAGAATTAGTCTAGCTATTCAAAGAGGGAACGCTGCCAGTATCTTCGGAACCTTGCCTAAACGGACCCCTTTTAATAATATATTTTAGTCATCATATTATATATTTTTTTAAGCTTTTTAATTTTAGGTTCTTAGTTGTACAATTCGGTTATGTAAATACTAGTAATAAATGTTTACAACTGCAAAAAAAAAACTTAAAAGTATAATTTTAAAACTGTATACATATAGGTACATACAGTGTTTACAAGTTAAGTAATATAAAAAACAATGGCAAGCCTGCCATTGCATTTAAATTTTACCGCCAATAAAACCTGATTTGATACTTGGTTGAGAATTTTTTAAATCTAATTTTAATCAAAAACTTGAGCTCCGTGAATAATAACTTTTGTAAGGATCAATCATCTGAACTAATTTCACGGATATCATGCACTGATATAATAAAAATTAAGATGTTTGTATCGTAAATGTTCGAAAAATAAATTAAGCCAAATATAAAACTGTACAGCTGCATATGAGATTTATAAAACACTTTTACATTGTCGTTAATAGAGACTGGTTCTATTATCTATTAAGTTAAAAATACTGTTTTATATTTAAAACAGTATTTTTAATTCATAATAATGAAAATGAAACACATAAGAAAATAAAATCTAGTATTAAATCCTAGTTGTTTACACTGCATTTATGAGAAAATTACTTTTACAATGCAACCTTTAACATATAAAGAAATAAAAGATATTGAGAGCGTCCTCATTATTTGAAATTATATTGCATATATCAACTGAAATTGCTCACAAGATAAAAGAAATTATATCATTTTTCATTATCTCTAAACTGTCAACGACAAAAAACATATAGGTCCCTTAAATTTATTATGGTGTAAAAGTTAATTGAGCCCGACTCCGCAGAGTCCTTTATAAATCGGAGAGCCACAGGTCGGTGGGACTTTATCACGGCACTGCGAGACAGGATTTTCGAGGCGACGAAATAAAAATGAAAACAAGAGACACAGAAACAGACGACACCTGCGGACATTGTATGTCTTCTTTGCGGTCAGACTTCACCTCCGCCGACTTTGTCTCTGAGCCATATAGTAACGCCATCGTACATTGGTGTTTAGAATATTGTTCCAAAGTATCGATACAAACATAATACCCATATGTATTTTTAATTCATTTTGTCATGAGTATTTCTAACTTCATGTTTATTTTTTTTAGTCAAAAGGGTAAACTCAATATCCTAATTATATTTATCTCATAATTTATTTGTACCCTTTAACCCCAAACACAGAATGAAAAAAAATGCACCTGATCAAATAAGCACATAAACATACATATGATTAGACAATTAGAACTATACGAAAAGTATACGTGTCGTAACAATACTAATAAATAATCTACTTACACCAATATTATTAAGTTTGTATGTTCCGAGTAACCTGTTGGTTATCGAAGAAAGTATATAGACTATATAACATCACGCTACAGCCATAAGGAGATGAGTTACAATGAAAACGTTTGCAAAACCGGAGAAAATATAACGAAAGATATATAATATAAAATATAACAAATTCACAACATCAGCTAATATTTACGTAAAAATATTAAAAAAATCCTCTAAGGACTGTTTTGGTAAACTTTTACAACGAGATATATTATATCGGAACCGATACTAGCTGATGACACTACAAGATAGTGGCTGTCATCCTGATTAAGTTCATCCGTAGTGCACTGCGACTCCTGTTACACTCTACAAAGAAGATCAGTCGACAGCTGTACGATATTATAAAAAACTTAAATTACGAAACTAATTCCAAGAAGTAGTAAGCCAAAAAAGTAAAAGATAATAAAGATATCCTATTACATTAAAATGAAAAAAACATACTTATTTCCGCGTCGCATTTGCATCTTATATTTCTTATACCTAATTAGATTTCTCTTATCAGTCGAAGTAGTAAGTAGGTATAGCATATCGAGTTACAGAAAAAATAATATAATATAAGTATGCACCTAATTTTTATGGACATTCATTAGCTTCTTATTTTATATAATATTATTTGCTAACATTATTTATTCTTTTTTCTTTTACGATTAGTAATAACGGACTTACATATTATATTAATTGATTCTTTTTTTAATAAAACTTGATACAAATTACTCATGTTCTATTATATCAATTTTAAGTATGCAATAATAAGTAATTGTCAATAAAAAGATTGGTTAGAGGATCTCTCTTTTCTTCCTTACAACACCAAAATTAAGTTATTATACGTTGGTACAGGAACCCGTTGAGATTAATGTTTTTGTGATTATTGAAAATTTGAATGATTCATAAGAAACAATTCATCACTTTTTCAATTTATTTAGTAGTTTAAATGATAGTAAGTAGTAATAATTTTAAGAGAAATCTTCTCATAAATTAACCACATAATTGGTCTGTATGAAAAATGTGGGTAATAACACTTTGACTTTCGGTTGCAGCCAAGCTCATCATTTAACTGCAAGTGTGAAACTTTCATATTTCTTTCCTTAATGATTTTGAATTAAGTACCTGCCACTGTGCTGCGATGAAAAATATTCTTAAGTACCCCAGGTTGAGTGACTTGTCCTAATTTAATACGTCAAGTTATTTTTTTTTTTGTGAATAAGTCATCGCATTTACATTTATCTCCATCAGCTTAACGGAAATATACCTACATACTAAATTATATAGAATTCAATATGATCTATTATTGTAACCTGTTTATACATAATATGAGAGAATTTTCCAAACTATGCGCCTTTAATTTCCATTGTATAATTTCTCAATAATTTGCCGCATTCATTTGTTACGGTTATCTATGGTAGATATCATTAATTCTATTTTATATAAACGAGTTAGTTTGTCTGTCATTCATCTACCTATAAACAATATTACTGTACTTTGGCCATGTAATTTGGAGAGACTAGGATAACTTCAGTAAAAAGGAAGGAAGTTGTTAGTAATATAGTATATTACTATACTAGTAAATCCATTATTAAGTTTATCCCATATTTATCAATATATGGTATGGAGTGACAGTGGAGACATGTAAATAACACGGGGAACAATAAATTTCACGTACCTACTACATATATTATTACGTTGGGTGCAGTGATATGTTAATAGAGCTATGTACGTAGTAAGAACAGAATTTGTCACAGTAATAATCTGTGCCAAATACTAAATTAAACAGCTCTCCAAATTTCCCTTTAATGCTGCATACTATATTATGACATGCCCAGATTTATCTGCAGACTATCATACAATATATCTAACTGCACGTTGCCCTCTCGTACTTGTAGGGGACAAATCTATATATAAGTAAAATAAAAATCTATCTGGTCGCTATTTGTACCTAGAATATATATAAGAAAATATTTATGAGAGCACATTTTTAAAGTAATAAAATCCAAAACAATGTGGTTATAATTATTGTCTGTCTGTTTATATGTGCGCGCAAACTTACAAACTTTTAGATAAGACTTACACAAATATTGATTAGTAAGTATCACATAAACTTTAATTATTGTTTTAGCCAATCGGTTTACAAACAAAAAAAATGTGATCTATTATTATTCTGAATACCACAGACGGCTACAAAGTTACTAGCTCAGATATGAAATT